CGCACACGCACACGCACACGCACACTCACACGCACACGCACACGCACCAACACACACACAACAACACCAACACACACACACACACACTCACACAGCAACACACACAGCAACGCAGACACACACACACACACACACCAACACACATATGTGTCCCTCGATACTCTGCGGGGCAATTGGGAGGTCAAGCTTTGTGTGTGCTTTCAGGTGCATTTAGCATGACGTGGTTCGGACGCTAATCATGGTTTGTAGCTTCTGGCTTGGGAACGTCCACGATGGATGGTTTCACAATGGGGGTGATGAGCCACGACATCCGGCTTTCAATTTGCTGGCAACAGTCTGAAAAAGTCCAGGGGTTTATGAAGTATCCACTTAGGCAATGGACCGGACCTGAGAAGGACCTAGACCTCACAGTTGAGGTCTGGCGCCTCTTTGCCCTGCGATGTGGCGGTGGTGGGTGTTGGTGGTCAGCCCAATGTGGAGTTCTGTGAGGGGCTGCCCGGCCAAGTTGCGCATACGCGAGCCAGGGCTGGGGCGTGGGTTGGGCGGGAGATGTGTTCGAACAACGCGTTTTAAGTAGTGCTCCAAGCACTTTTAAAGCGGTTGCCGGCCGAAGATGGGAAGCGCTTCCGGCGGGAAAGCGCACCGAAGTAGAAGGTAATGGTCTTGAAGAACTTATGGGTCAAACTTCTGATGTTGAGGGTGGGCTCAAACTTTAGACACTGGCGACTTAAAACGAGAACTGTGGCCACTTTTGGAGGGCCTGAGAGAAGCTCCATACCTCCCAATGCGGTGGACCTTTCTGGTGCTGCCCTTTTTTGCTGAACACCTTGGGCGCATGGGGCAAATTCCCTGTTCGACCCACTTGGCACAAAGTGCTTAGCTCGAAGAGGCCGTTTGTGCAAATTGGCCAACAGACATCTCATTCTTGGGGCACCGGAAGTGATGCGCTTTGCACAGTTCCTACGTAAGTTCAGGCCTCAAAGGCTTTTCGAAAGAGACCGCAAAACTGAGTTCGCCTGAGATTTGGCAAGTATTTGGTTGATGACTGGAGAGGGTTACGTGAGCTGGCAGAATTCCAAACGAGAAGTGACTCTGTGCAAGCCACCACCCACTTAACATGCCAACTGCCATCTTCGCATCTGCCAAATCTCACAGTTTGGTACCACTTTTCTAGCGTTAGCATGTTATTCAGCACGCGTTGTTGAAGTCTGGTGCATTCTTGCTTCAATGGGACGGGTGTACGTGACTGAAACTTCAATCTTGCTTAAACAGCACTGCAAACATCCCCATTAGAGGGGCGAGTCTCTTGGCATACGTTCATCTGGCGAGTGCCTTGCAGCGAAGGCTTAAGATGGAGAACAAAGGAATCCTGGTAGATGCCAACATGCAGCTTGGAGTGCAAGGCATGAGTCACATACACATATATATAAGAGTAGTTATATACTTTGGATATATATATATATATATGTATGGCAAGGTATGGACATGCATCCGTCGGAGCGCAACTTCGATTGGTTCTTACACTCATCCCATGGAGAGGCAGTAAGCCACATCCCTAGGTACAAAATCGGACCGGAACTTGAGCAAAGCTCCCAGTAGGCATTCTTTGCCGTTGTCTCATAAGCTGTCAGAGTTGTCAAAATGTGTAACCAAGAATTCTATTTAAGCCGTTGGCGTGTTCCGCCGGCTCCCGGCTTCAGGCCGTCAAATTTTGCTAGCCTGGTGGCATCAGTTGCACAGTCACGCAGGCTCATCTTTAGAGCCATCCCTGGAAGTTCCTTAGACAGATGACCGTACCAAAGTGCAGCTTTAGCCACGCTCGAACCGCCCCCCCCCTCCCCCCCTTTCTCTGTGTTGCTTTTTGTTGCACATTGACCTATTCTCACACTCCGCTGACATGATGGCCCAAGGCCCTTCAAGTCATTTGTACAGTCATTTGACTCATGGTACAGAGCGCTTTACAGTCAACACAAGCTACCAGGGACAATCCATCCTCCAATCCTCCATATTGGCAAATTGGACTCTCTCCGGAATAGATCAGGGACCAAATCAACGCCTCTACTACCACAGGGTGCCAGTTCCCTTCTAGGATAGGCACCCCGGCAGTGGGCCTCAATTTGTGTGTGGTAGCGGAGCCTGGTTTTCCGCAGAGATCCAAGGGAAGATGTCATCCGATGGAGAAGGCTTCATGGAAGCCTATTCAAGTATGGCCAAACCATCAGGCTATACGGAGGAAACACTCAATTTATCGATGACCGCCAAGCAGCCGCCATCGTACGACGGAAAAGTCAGCTGGTTCAGGTACGAGGAACTCGTGGACGACTGGGTGACCATCACCACAGTAGAAGCATCCAAGCGAGGTCCATTGCTTAAGAGCAGGCTCACGGGAGATGCTTACATGTACAAGGCCGTCCTCCAGAATGATCTTTTGCAAGATCCTGATGAAGGAGTCAACTATTTCAAGAACACGCTGAAGAAGTACTTTTTGAAAGGTGCGACCAACGTGTATCTGTACAGACTCCTCAGTTTCTTCAATCATCGGAGGCAGAACCAAGAGTTCCTCATTTTTACCTCAAAATTCGAAATCCTACTTATGAGACTGAAGGCAGCATGGATGGACTTGATGCCAATCTTTACGGCACAGTCTCCATCATTTCGACAGTCCGTACAGGACGCAAATGCAAGAACAATTGCTCGACATCAGCAAGCAGCCGGTGTTCGAGCACCGCCTCCAGCCCTGCTCAATGAGGACGATCCTACAGTCCTCAGACAGTATATCCAAGGAATGCAGGACAGACAGCGGGACGCATTTCCCTTCGGGGATAATCTCACTGCACAGTTTTTCATCATTCAAAGTGAGTTGTCAGATCAACAAAGAGAACGACTCACAAGTGCAATGTCATTGAGAAACATCTCACTCGAGAATTATTCCTATGAGATGCTGAAGACGCACTACCATGAACTCTTCATCATCAACGAGGACATCGATCCAAGATCCATCCATCCGACCTCAAGGAGGCAACCGAAGCAACACATTCTTCATCATCGAACAAGGCGAATATGAAGGAGAAGAAGGCTTCTGGGTTGAGGATGAAGAAGGACTTGAAGGATTCATGTCAAACAACGATGAAGAGACGTTCTGGGTCCTCGAGGAGAACGATGCGTTCATAGCAAGAAAAGTGTCGGGGCGGAACTTCAAGTTCAAGAAGAGAAAAGGAAAAGGAAAATCAGGAATCAAAAAGGGCAGTCACCAACGAGGTGGCTTTAAACCCTTCAGAAAAAGCGGTTCTGGCGGGAAGGCCCATATGGCCAATGAGAACTATGATCCCTACGAGGCATATTGGGGAAAAGGCAAAGGAAAGAAGGGAAAGAAAGGAAAATCAAAATTCCAATATCCCTATGATGGAAACAAGGGTTATCCACCCTATGAGAATGGCAAAGGAAAAGGCGGACATGACAAAGGACGATCCAAGACGTTCGCAGCCATCGCAGAGAAGACGGAGGAGCCCATCCACAGAGCCTACCTATGCCGGTTGGACAGACCAAGATTGGGATCAATCATGGACATGGAATGAACAAGGCTGGTACTCATCCCATGAGACATCCAGCACAGGACAAGCGCTAATGGCATTCCATGACGCATATGAGCATCATGAGAAAGAGGCCATCCACGGGAAGCTGATCCAATCAGATGCAGTTTCAGAACACAATTTGTCCGTCGCAACAAATCACAGCCTTTTGGCAACAAAGCTGATGGCGCCTGTCATCAACCCTCAGCACAATCCGACCTATGCAATCCTGGACAACGGATGTACCAGATCCATGGGCAGCTGGCATGCAATCAAGCGTTTTACTCAGGCCATCGAACCCATGAAGGACATCATCTCCTATCAGTACACCCCGGCCGAGACCAAGTTCACTTTTGCAAACGGAGAGACCGCCAGGGTAAATTGGACCCTGCATCTTCGATATCACACAACTCCTCCATGCAGTACCAACATCGACGTCCTTGAACAAGGAACTGTACCGATCCTCCTCAGCATCAGTCAGATGCGGAACCTCTACATGACCATCGAGAACACACCTCAATGTGACAAGATCACATGCAATGCTTTTGGCATGAACCGTCAAGCAGTTCCGGTATCCGGTACAGGACATGCGCTCGTCGATCTCGCTGGAGTTGCAAGAGTGAAGGCACATGGAGAAATTGCTCATAAGGGCCTCACCAACTACGTCTACGATGATGACAACAGCATCAAGCTTCCCTCCGGGGATATTTCCAAGAGTGAAACTGTTTGTGCAGCAAAATCATCCGAGACGAAGGAGGACCCAGTAACTCCTAAAATCATTGGGTCTCAGAAGCAGGACCATTGGATCCTTGACAAGCACGCCTCGAAAGGCACCGTTCACACCAAATGGAGCCAAGGAATGTCCAATCAATCCTGATAACATTAGCCGAGAGCGTACTACGGAAATCATTGATGCATCCGAAGGTGGAGATCCAGTCCAGACATCCTAGAAGACAATTGGAGACTTAAATCCCAGGCAAACAAACCAATGATTAACCTGTGGATAGGTAAGACCATTTTCACCTTCGCGGACAATTCGCTTAAGGACGAAGAAGCAGGCTCAGGATCGGCAGCAGACAGGATCATCGACAAGAAGGGCCGGTCGACCATTGAGCCAGATCCTTTCGCCCCATCCTCAGAAGAACCAACAACGCTTCCGCTTGCACTAGGCAGAATCCACAAGCGATTGTCAAATCCCGAAGAGTTGAAGAAGCTCCACCTCCAGCATCATCACATGACAACAGATCAATTCGATTTAGAACTCGCTCGCTTCATTTGCCGAAATCAACATTCGATCTTTTTGACAAAATCAGAAGTGAATGTGAAGTTTGCCAAGCGGCAAAACATGCACCATCACGAAGCAAGACGAGTGGACTTCGAGCGGACACCTTTGGCGACATGACATTCATTGATCACTGTCAAGTTCCTCTTGGAACAGGAGAACACATCATTGTTTTTGTCATCATGGATGGAGCAACAACATTGCTCACTGCAGAGGCAGTGACAACTACGCAAGAAGTCGAGAACATCACTGTCCTCAGGAACTATTTTGACCAGTACCACTTGCAGCCCAAATCAGTTGTCGCAGATCAAGCCTTCATGACGGAAACATGGGAACATTTCTATCAATTCCTTGGACCGAATACACCATGGCCAAATCGACCTGAAGCTGCAGTTGGACTCCTGAAGGCGCAACTCAAGATCATGCTCAGTTCCATCAAGGCAGGCACAGCACCTGCCACACTGAAGAAAGTGACATATAGACAGCTGGTGAAGGCAGCTGCAACTGTCAGGAATCAGACTGTCACCTACGAGGGTGTAACACCATTAGAGCTCGCATTCGGAAGACGACCAGCAGATCTCATCCAACCCGATGTCGCAACACCAACTCAGCTAACGATTGACAGGAATGAGGAGGAGATGACAGCCATCCAGATCAAGCAGCTGTCCAAGCAAGCATTCCAAGAAGCACGTCAATCCGAAGACATCCGACGAGACCTTGCTAAAACCTTGCTCAAAATCTCCGAATGAGTTCTAAGCCTCTTCAGGTGAAGGACAAGGTATTTTACTGGCAGGAAGACAAATCCAAGATCCGTTCCGATGGAAGCAAGGGAGGAATATGGCTAAAAGGAAAAGTCATTTCCATTGAAGGAGCAATGGTAGGACTTGATCTTGGGACTCGACTCATCAAGGTTAACATGACGAAGGTCAGAAAGGATGAAACCATCCCTCCGGGGAAACCTGGAATTGATCTTCTATCGCCAGAAGAGCGAGAATCCTTGCAGAAGGAGCAAACCGGCTCCTCTGCCGACACCAAGAAGAAGGAGTTATCCGCACCAGCTCCTAAGCCAAAATCCTCAGTGCCATTACGCATCGCGGGAAAGACAACTCCCAAGCCTGCAGGGGGAGATTTCCATTTCTGTGCATACGGACTGAAAGATACTGAATCCGGGCTCAGAAGTCTCAAGCCCACGAGCTTGACGCACTGCTTACCTCCCGAGGTAATGAGACCGATTTTCAGAAGGTGTAAAAAATCTACCAGCTCGGTCAAGCATGAACATCAACCCCTCGAGGGAAATGCTGGTACTTTCGGAAGCAGAACCAAGCTGGCACAGGTGTATCCTTACCAGTTCTGTCAGGATCTCGCCTACATCCTCCTACGACACTTGAAGGTGAAACCGCTTGACAACGAGGTGAACCTCTTGGAGGACCTTTTCGAACCATTCACCATCAAGCAGGTTGACATCCTGAGAAAGGAGATGGAAGCCATTGACAAGGAGTTCAACATGACCAGCAGTAGTCTTGCGGTCAGAATCC